GTCCGATTCCGACGTCGTAGTAATAACTTGTTTGGTAGGCAGTACGCACAGTCCAGTCCAGCCGAGAACCAGTGCCAGTTCCAGGCCCAGCCTGCTCTCTAATCCCCGCGAAGATCGCATCGCCGCGAAACACTCGAAATCTAATCGGTTCAATAGACTTCCCTGCCAGATAGTGCGTGGGCAGGCCCGAGCATGTAGCTAATCGCGGCAAACAACTGGCAAGTGGATCAACCGGCGGCAGTGGGCCATACTTATACTCCGTGCCCAGATAAACGAATTCCGCAAAGGCATTCCGTCGTTAATTGCTGCTCTTCGCTGGAAGTGGCCGCGGAAACTGAGCCACCCCAGATTCGGACCCGCACAGCTGGGCAGGAAAACTTCAGTTCGAGTGGAAAACCTGCTTGAGCTCTAGCTCCAATCACAACTACAACTACGACTCCAGCTGCAGCCACAGCAACAACAACAACAACAGCAACGCGCAGTGCGCGATCGAGCCCACAAAAGAGAGGCGACAAAACAAAGAAGCAGGCGAACAAAGAACGCAAGGCAACAAAAAGAACCGAACAGAGGGAAACAGAGAAACCAGCGCCAGATACAAGATACCAGATACAAAACGAGTCGGTCGCAGCATAGATTCATAGGTAGTGCATCCAGCAGGAGCATCTGTGAGCAGGGGAGCGGGTCTAGAGACCGATGCCCGAAAAATTCAATAAACACGACTGTGTTCAGCCAGCGTAAACACGACGAAATTGTTAATTAAGACGCCAAATGTTTGGCAGACTTCGAAAGTGCAGAGCAGCGGAGTAAGCAGCGAGTGAACGACGAGAGAGAGTGCGCGACAGATAAGCGGATCCGAATCCGAATTTGAATCGTGCGGTGTGGGTGCAGTTCGTCTCTGGGAGAGTGGTTCCGTTTCCAACGTAGCGCGCACGTTTGCGTTGCCCACCGAAAATCAGCTGGTGCCCCAAAGCTCATTTCAAGTGCACGCCGATCGAGATAACGCTCTCATCTTCTGTCGCTCTCCCGCTCAGTACCACCCACTCGGCCACCCCCGCTAACGCTATCAGTCAATGCCGTTCTTCTGAAACCGATTCGGGAGAGCGCAGTGGAAGGTCTGAAACATTGACGACTTCAAGAGCTCCAAAAGTAAGTAAAAGTTGAACAATATTTACGGCACCTACAGAACTGGCCCATTCGCATAGGTTTCCAGACACATATATAGGATCTCAGTACTAGGTAGCTTTCCCATCTTAGTACATATCAACAATTAGCATTAAAAGTTATTTCTACAAACTGTTTTGTCTGAGAAAGAATGACGAAGTGGGATTGAAAATAAAGTTTAAGGCCCCTTAGTCCTATCTCATTAGAAATCTACTAAGTCAACAATCAGATTAATCGTTACACGTCCGACCGATCTTTTTTCAATCCCCTTCACATTTCAGTTCATGATCGTATTATTGGAAAAATTCAACGCTCATTCTGCGCCTTATCATATGCCGTCGACCCGATTTCAAAGGTGGCGAATCCAACTAGAGCTCAACTCTATACATATAGTGGACTGAAATGTGTTGTTTCCATTTAATAATGAATTAATGCCTAGTAAGTATGTACCACATATACTTGCAGGAGCTGCTGATAAGCCAAGAGTATATACGGTTGAACTTTGAATTCAGCACGGGCAGAACCAGCAAGCTCCGGAGGTTCGACGGCTCTCGGAATTAAAACCCCGATTAGTTCGTGGAAACATCTGTATACGCATGGTTAAAATCTGTCCGTCGAAAAAGATCAATCAGAATTAAGGGCTTACAAATTATTCCATTAAAGTTAGAATTTAATTGCGCCATAAAGGTATTCATGAATTGGTGTTGTTCGGAGCAATTAAAGTGAAGGTGTTCGGGAGTCGAGTCTTATTATTATGTGTTCAATGAACCCCAGTTTCCTATGTATATAGAACCTACCCTGATAAGCTAATAATCGTGCCAAACAGATCCCTTTGTTGCGCCACGTGTTTAGTATTTACAAAGATAAGATATATATAAACTAAATATGAATGAACAAGACTTGAATTTGCAATTAAGTCAGTTTCAAGTCATAAGGCATCTTACATAATTGAAGGGATGTGGGAACCATAATCTAGCGTTGAAACCCCAGCGCAACAACATAATAACAGAATGATAAGAAAGCAATGTTACAAGCGTTACTATATTTTCAGTTTACGACGATAAGATGTCCACCCCCCACAGCCACAGTACATTGCCATGCGCCAAAGACCCTGAGGTGGGCCAGCCTCGTAGTCGAGAATCCGATCGGACAGTGGCCCCACCCGCAATCAAATCCCTTACACTAAACTCCACACAGAGCAGGACGGGCACGGGAAACTTTGGAGGCTTCAGCATGACGAACGGAGCCGAGAAGCCTACTGTGCTGCAGATGATACTGGAGGCCTTGGGCCTGCGCAATCAGGCACAAAACCGCGAGCCAACGTCCAAGGATATTGGAACCCTGATAAGTTAGTAGAGCACTCTTGACAAGCCTGGCAAGCTCGACTAATCCGCTTCAACTTTTCCAGTGCTGGGCGTGATGTTTCTGCTTTTTGTAGTCGGAGTGACCGGATTCTTCGTAATGTGGTTCACCGAATATTACAACAACACCATGCTGGAGGTAAGTCTGAAATGCATTCTGTTATCATGAAATTCCTATTTCTTACTGATCCACAGAACCTGATTCTCGCCGAGAACTCTGACACCGCCAAAAGTTGGCTTAATCCTGATCCAAAGTTTGATACTTTGCTTAAGGCACACATCTTTCACTACCCCAACATCGATGACTACTTGGCAGGTCGTGCTGATAAGATAAAAGTTGTGGATGTGGGACCTCTAACCTACCAAGAACACACTGTTAAAGATGAAGTTTCATTTAACAAAAACTTCACAGTTAGCTTCAGGGTAAGACTCCTCACTAATAAAATGTTTACTTCCTACCAAGTACACACGCACTTTAAGCATAAATGACGATCCATTGATCAGAAACGTCGAAATACAAAATATAACAACTTGAGTTGCCTTGTAACAACAAAATTCCCTCATTATTAAATGTATTGACATTATTAAACATATTTTTTCAGGACCGAAAGTCTTATAAGTTCCTGCCGGAGAAGTCGGCTATTGGGGAGCACGAAGTGGTCAGGGTGCCCAATGTGCCACTTATCTCTGCCGCGGGACCTGTTAAACGCATGAAGGTCGTTGAACGTATACCTGTCTCCCTGTTGATCAATCAATTCAAGGAGCCGCTCTTCAAGAATCTCACAGTTTTCGACTATCTCTGGGGTTATGAGGACAGCATCATCAAGTTGAAGTCCTTGGGTAAAGGCAGGCGAAGATTCGGCCTTCTAATGAGCGTAGGTAATCTTACGTGTTCGTTGATCAGCGTTTTAAATCAGTTCTTTCATTAGCGCAACGGGACCAGCGTGGATTCCGTTCAACTCAATACGGGCGAGGACGACATCACCAAGTTCAGCGTTATCACCCAATTTAATGGGATGCCCCAATTGGACTATTGGGAGGGAGAAGAGTGCAATCGTATCGACGGATCCGAACCCTCGATGTTCTCACCGCATTTGCTGCAGGATCGCAGCACCGTAAATGTGTTCCTCCAGGTCCTGTGCCGCAAGGTTCCCCTGAATTTCGAAAAGGAGGTTACCATCTACAACGACATCGACGTTCTGCGCTACCGGACACCAATGGATGTATTCGCCCATCCCAAAAACAATTCTGCGAACGCGTGCTACTGTCATAACACGGAGCTCTGTCTGCCCAGCGGAGTGATCAACGCAACCAAGTGCTACGGCGATGCGCCCATTTTTCCCTCGTTCCCGCACTTCTTCACTGGCGATCCGAAGCTATACGAAGACTTTGAAGGTATCGAGCCGGACGCAGCGGTGCATCAGACCTATGCCGACATCCATCCTCGATTCGGCTTCCCCATTAGCGGAGCCTCACGCGTCCAGATCAACATCATGTTGGACAAGACGCCAATACTGAGAAGTAAGCACAGAAGAGTTAATATTTTCATTGGAAGCATACTAATAGCACTGTCTTGTTTCAGATCAGGGAAGACGACTGAAAAACGCCACCATCCTTCCCCTGATGTGGATCGAGATCACCTCGGGTGACTTTTCCGAGGAAGTGCTCCATACGTTGTACATAAGCACCTTTGGCCTGAACGCCATTCAGCAGACTCTTAAATACGGCACCCTGCTGATATCGGTGACATCCTTCAGCCTGATCGTGGCCGGAGTCTACTACCTGAACAGCCGGCGGGAGGAGCAGCTCCAGGAGAGCAAGTCGTCCGCTGAGCTAGAAGCACTGAACGGCGAAATCGTCGTGGTGCACCACATCGATATGCCTGTTCCGCTGCCCGCGCAAGAGGGTAGCAGCCACCGAGCAGCGTAATAGTGCCATTAGTTAGTTAGGGGCGGGTAGGGGAAAGTTGTTCAAACTTTATTGAGATTTTCGAATTTGTCAACGCTTATCTTAGAATAGTTTTTAAACAAAAGTCGCCAGTTACCTGTAGTCCGTAGATATCTGATATATGTATAGTATATAGAAAAGTTCAATAAACTGTTAATTATCTTTAACTTTTTGCTTTTTAAAATAGCTTAAACGTGGCTTTAATTCCAGCTCCTCTTCCAGATGACCACATTACAACTGCCCAAAGAAAGATTCGTTTCATGTAGCAAATATTTTATTGTTTAGTTCTAAACAAAAACGAAATTCGTATATTAGTTGCGTGTTCAACATTTGATTTCCTGTTCGGTTCTGTTTCAGTTTGAAAACCATTTTAGTTGTTAAATGCATGAATTATATATTGCATCGAGTACTTCTATGGATTCTATATTAGGTTATTAAAAAATGTGGAAATGAGTGTCCTGCTGATTTAGTCTCTCCATTATGGTGTTTGTGGGTTTGTGTAGTTCAGAGTTAATACGTTTGTTGGTTGAATTTGTGTTGTATAATTTTAATTTTATTTCGTTGGCTGCTTTAATCCGCAGACATTCGAGGGATGGGAAAATTCTTATGTGTTTATGTTTTGTATAGAGTGGGGAGTGTTTTACAACATTGTTTTTGTTTTTTGTTTACGTTTTGTCGTTATAAAAATGTTGGTTTTGTTTGTTTACGTTTTAATTTAAGTATGTATAATAGTTTATATAAAAAATAACAGAGAAATTATATAAAAGAAACATTAAATATAATCGTTTATTTTGCTCTTCATCTTCACCTTCTTCCTCCGCTTTAACTTTATCTCCATCTAATAATTAACGCGTCAATTGCCAGAATCCTCTCCATCTAATGATTCATCCTGCACCGATGAGTCGTCCCCGCCGCCGCCGCCTCCTCCTGCGCGCTTTGATGAAGGTGTGCCCGTGAGCCGGCTGGAGCTGAGACCCATGCCGCCGGTGCGTCTATGAAAGGAAGACCACGAACAATAATTAGTACCTCGGATCGCAATAAATTGTTTGTTTATGGGTGAACGTGCAGTGCAGGGGCAACAGATAAATAAAAACAGAGGGAACGTTTAGGGGTTCACGTCTAAGTACTACTTTTTAAGGTAGTTTGGGGTGAGGCACAAGTTCGCACATTTGGACTTGATGGGGTGATCCGTCCCTAACATGCAGAGAGTAGACGATGTTGTGGTTGCTGGGTTCGGTTGACATTCACTGGTTCTAAGGATCATGGCGAACAGCAGCACTTACAGCCTACGAGAAGGAAACGAAGCAAATCGAAGCGAAACGAAACCTAATGCAGACCCTCACAATTCATAATAAGTGCGGCATCCTTTTTGGGCGAATATGCCTTGGCCTTTTCAGTCTCGGCCACTTGTATGGAGCTTGAACCAAAGATAAATTTCAAACAATAATCAAAAATGCAACCCGAAGAGACACCCAAGGAGACTCCCATCCTGATCATGGAGAAATTCACCCGACAAAGATCCCAACTTACCGTAGTTTCGTTTTGAGTGAGTTAATCTCACGATTCATGGCTTCCTGCGATTCAATCATGTCCTCGCACTCACGCTGGTACTTGCGCTTCTGCGTCTTCTCCTTCTGCAGCTCCTCTTCGGTCTCGTCCAGGTTGCGCTTGAGCAGTTTAATGCGGCTATTCAGCTGTGATAACCAAAATATACTCTTTAATAGCAATTCCTTAAAATGCTCTATTCTTCACTTACCTTATCCATTTGCTCCTTGTGCTGGTCGACATGTCTCCGTTCGTCCTCGATGTTCATCGTAAGCTCCTTAATCTTCTTGTCCATCTTGCGGTTGGCCTTCTGCTGCAACAGTCGCTCCTTGCCCTCATTCTCTAGCTGCTCCTCGAGGTTGGCGATCTTGGCCTCGAGCGTGGCAATCGTGGCCTTCACCTTGGTGCGCTGCGCCGTTTCGATTTCAGCAAGCTTGGCCTTTAGCTCCTTGTTTTGGCGTTCGAGCAGAGCACGGCCGTTCTCGTTCTTTTGGGAGTTGGATTTTTCATTGGCCAACTCGGTGGTCAACTGCTCAATCTGCAGCTGCGCCTTGCGGCTGCGGTCCAGCAGCACCTCTGAGTTGGACTGTTCTTCCTCCAGCTCCTCCTCAAGAGTGGCGATGCGGGCCTCCAGTCGGCGCTTCTCGTCGATCATTAAGGAGCCCTTGTTGGCATTATTGGCAATTTCCTCGGCCAGTTCGTCGCGCTCCGTTTCAGCAGCACGGCGCGCCCTCTCTGAGCTGGCCAGATCCTCGGTCAGTTGTAATACTTCTGCTTCCAGGGCCTTGACCTTACGCTCGGCCTCTTTGCTCAGGGCCTGCAGCTCCTCCTTGGCGGCTTTAGCCTCCTCGGCGTCGCGCAGCGCGTCCTTCACTTGTGCTTGCAGCTTCTTCGCATGCTTCAACGCATCCTCCTTCACCTTATTATGCATCTCCATTGTGGTCTCGATCTCCTTCAGGTCGCCCTCCAGCTTCTTCTTTGACGCCACGGCGGCCGTGCGTTGCTTGCGTTCCTCGTCCAATTCGGTTTCAAGATCCCGCAATTGTTTGACGAGCCCGCGTCTTTTCTCCTCGGCGCCTTCCTCCTTAGCCAGCAGGTCGCGTTCGAACTGAGAGCGAAGGGCTTGCATGTTGACTTCCAAGCGGAGTTTAGCGTCTTCAGTCAGTTGCAGATCGTCCTCGAGCTCTTCGTTTTGTGCTTTCAGTTCGGCCAGCTGAGACTCTAGCGCCCTCTTCGCCTTCTCCAGCTCATGGACGTTCTTGTCAGCGGTGCCCTGGGTGTTGGCCAGGTCGTCGAGTTCGTTTTGGAGGGTCTTGCGCTTGTTCTCGAGGTCTTCTATCTTGTCGAAGGCTTCGTCTAGCTCGCGGGAAACCGACAGCACCTTGGTCTCCTTTTCGCGCGCCTCCCGCTCTGCAGTATCGCGCTCCTGGGCGATCTGTTCTGATATGGCTTTCTCCTCGGCGAGGATCTTGTCGAAGTTCTTTTGCTTCTTCTCCAATTCGAGCACCTGGCAAACCACATTGTATTTTTTATTAGCTAGCGATTTTTAAATTACCAATCACGACTTACCTTGGTGCGTTGCGCCTCCAGCTCAATTGTGGCATCTTCAAGCTCCGACTGAATCTTCTTTTTACTCTTATCGAGGCGGTCATTCTGGGCAATTAGTTCCTTGACCTGACGCTCCAAGGCTTCGATGTCCTTGTTGAGTCGCTTCTTGCCCTCCTCCAGTTCCTTGGCCAGATCCGCGTCTTCCTCGGCCTTCTTTTTAATCTCCTGCATCTGCGCGGTGACTTCTGCCAGCTTTCGTTCGTAGTTGCGCTTGGCTTCATCATCCTCCTCGAGCTGCTCTTGTAGAGCTTCTTTTTCTGATTCGATCTGACGCAGCTTGGAGCTGAGACCCAGCTTCTGGCGCGTTTCCTCCTCCAACAGCTGTTGAGCTTCGGTGAGTTGCGATTCCATGTTGCTCGCAGACTTAACGGCGGCCGATGCCTTTAGTTCGGCTTCCTCCAGCTGGTTTGTTATGTTTTCAGCTTCCTGCTGCAGCTTTGTGCATTTCTCCTGCAGTTCCGAGCGGGCGCGTTCAATCTCAGCGAGTTTGACCTGTGAAAGAATAAGGTATGTTAGTTATTGTTTCCAGAAGTTCTTCATTTTGATAAGCTCAGAAACCGGTTACTTTTTACCACGACTATTTACCTGCAATTCAGCAATCTGCGACTCTGCCTGCTTGCGCCGGCGATCGTTCTCTTGCCGGGAGCTGTTGACGCTTCGCAGTTCGGTGGCCAAGTCGGCGTTCTCCGCCTCCAAGGTTCCTTTGGCCTTTTCGAGGACTGTCTTGGCTTTACGTAGGTTTTCAAGCTGGTCGTTAATGCCGTTAAGCTCCTGAGAGTGCTTGTGCCTCATTTCAGCCAAAACGCCCTCGTGGTTGACGGTCTCCTCTTCGAGCGACTTTTTCAGCGTGGCTAACTCCTGTTCGCGCTTAGAGCGCAGTTCCTGCTGGGCTGTTTGTCAAAAATATATGTTATTTTTTTTAATTATTTATAAAGAGTTGACCGAATTTTTGACTAACGGGGAGATGTGTAGTCTTACCGGCTGTGGTGTCCAGGGAGTCGAGCAATTCATTCTTGAGGGCCTCCAGTTCTTCGCTAAGGTCGCGTCTAACCTTCTCTGCCTTTGCACGGGCTGCCTTTTCGGCCTCCAGATCCTCTTGGATCTCGGCCAGCTGTGACTCTAGCTCGCGCTGAGCCTTCTGGGCGGTGGCCTTGGTGGCAGACTCCTCATCGATGCGCAAGAGAGTCTGGGTAAGTTCCTCCTCACGCTTGGCCAGCTGAGCCTGCATCTCCTCCACCTGGACGCGGCGCTCATTGAGCTGCTCTTTGAGGTCGGCTACTTCGGTCTCGATTTTTCGCTTAGATCGGTCAGACTCTTGACGCTGCTGTTGATCCTTGTGCATGCGTTCCTCGAGCTCGGCGATTGTGGCCTCGTGTTTGGCCTTCAGCTTGGCCAGGTGCTTAGCCTTCTCCTCCTCCTCAGCAAGTGTTTGGGAAAGATCGTTAGCGCGCTCCTCCAGTAGCTTTTTCTCCTTGAGAAGCTTTTGGTTCTGGTCGTCGGTTAGGGCGAGATCTTCTTCGTACTTTTTTATCTTGGCGTCAAGCTGCACCTTCTCCAACTGCAACTTCTGACGGGCTGCCTCCTCTTCTTCCAACTGCTCTTCCAGATCTTGAATATTCAGCTCCAACTTCTTTTTCTCTCCTCCTAGGGCCAGGACGCGTTCTTCTTCTTCTTCGATGCGGGTCTCTAGCTCCTGCATCATATCCTCCAGTTCCTGCTTGCGCGCCATTAGTCGGGAACGCGACTCTTCTGCCTCAGCGCAAAGTTCAATTTCGGCTTGCAGCTGCTCAGCTAGAGTTGTCTTCTCCACCAAAGCCTGCTGGTACTTGCGCTCGTACTCCTGTGTGTTCTTGGCCAGAGTATCAAGCTTCTCGCGCACCTGCTTCAGCTCATCCTCCTTTTGGACGAGCTTCTCCTCCTGCTTGGTCACCTCCAACAGAGGCTTGACCTTCGTGTACAGACGCCACCACTGCCAGTTGCGAAGCTTGAGGTAGGCGGCGCAGTTACGCTGGATGATTCGAATAGCGTTGAGCTGCTGCAAGCGCTTTTGGTAGTTGCGACGCGCGAGGAAGCCACGGCAGAAGGCCTGGAAGTTGACGATCAGGTCGGAGATCTTGAAATCACGCTCCTCCTCTAGGTGAGCGAGGACGCCAGCGCGGAAGAAGATCTTCGACTGGCCCACTCGATACAGGTTCGAGTCGAGCTCCAGCGCCTGAATCATCTTCTCACAGGCCTTCTTGCCGTCCATGAAACCCTTGGGAATCACGTTGGGCGTGAGCAGTTCGTAGCGTTGGCGGAACTCCTGGAAGGGTATGCGATTGGGGAAGCCCTGTCGGCAGATACGAATGCCCTCGAGCACGCCGTTGCAACGCAACTGGTCGAGCACCAAGGGAGCATCGATCTTGCCGGCGCGCTTCTCGTGGTTCGGTATGATACAGCGCACAAAGTTCGGGTTCGTGTTGCGCAGCGTGTCCATCAACTTAGCCAGCTGCTCCTTGTAAAGATGAGACACGGTGCGGAACATGCCCTTGCGGGTGCGGGCCCCGAACTGAGTATCAGTCAGGGCCTGCTGTGCCATGCCAACGATCTCCGCATCCTTCCAGATGTTCACCACGAACGGATCCTGCGAACCCTGCAGCAGCGACACGATGTTCTCGTTCAGTGGGTCCATGTTCTTCATCAGCCACTTGGCCGCCGAGTAGTCAACGCGGCCGGCGTAGTGCACGATGGCAAAGTCGGCGACACCGCGAAAGTCGGTCTTCATGAACTTAGGGTGCATGGAGTGGGCCGAAACGAGCTTGTCGACAAACGTCCTGTCGGTGGCCTTGGGGAACCAGCACTCCTCATCCAGCAAGGCCATAATGCCGCCGGGCTTGTCGATCAGATCGATGGTAGGCTGCAGATCTAGCCCGAAGTCAATAAACTTCCACTCAATGCCCTCTCGCTGGTACTCCTCTTGCTCCAGAATAAACATGGTGTGGTTGAATAGTTGCTGCAGCTTCTCGTTGGTATAGTTGATGCACAGCTGCTCAAAGGAGTTTAGCTCGAAGATTTCAAAGCCGGCCATATCGAGAATGCCGATGAAGGAGGCGCCCTGGCGCTTTGTGCGGTCCAGAGAACGGTTAATGCGGTTCACGAGCCATTTGAACATGCGCTCGTAGCACGCCTTGGCAATGGCCTCCACGGCAAACTCCACCTGCTCCTTTGTTTGGGCTTTCGTGACAAAGTCCCGTCCCACTTTGATACGGGGCGTCAGGAAGGCCCGAGTCATGTCCGTCACACTGAGGCCGAGCAGGTGCGCGATCTTCTGGGCCACCGTGTTGTCTGGCAGCGTGGCCTGGTCGTTGTTGCGCTCCTGACGGAATTTCATGCTGCCGAACAACAGAACAGCGCTCACGATCCGGAATATCGAGTTGAAATCCTCGGAGGTCATGCCCATAATGTTCATCGACTTGACCGTTGCCTGGAACTCGGCGTAGTCGTCCACGCCGGGCACGGGCAGGCTGCCGTTGGACAGGAATGCATACGACTTGACGTCATCGAGTATGAACTTCTCGCGCTGCTCCGGCGTGGCCCCCGCCAGCAATTGGTAGAAAATATGGAATGTTCGTTCGTCCTTCGCTTGACGAATGGCACGCGACTTCTCCAGCAGATAGGTTTCGATGTTGGCCCCCGAGATGAAGCCCGAAGCATCGAAGTTGATCCGGATGAATTTGCCCTGCAAAGCAGCAAACGATAAAATACATTTTGTGGGTAGTAGGTTAGGGCCCCACTTACGAAACGCGAAGAGTTATCGTTCTTGACGGTCTTGGCGTTACCAAAGGCTTCCAGTATGGGATTCGCCTGCAGCAGCTGTTGCTCCAGCTCGCCCTGTTCAGAGATAAAGAAGATTATGTTAGGACGATGTGTTATACGGTCTTAAAGGTTAGGGGTTAGGCACAAACATACACAAAAACAGTCTAAACACAGAAAATTCTTGGGACAAGTACAATGACATCACAAGCAACACAACATATCTACACAACTCGATAAGATTAGTCTACGGAAGCATGCAGGAAGAAGCCGAAGCCAAGCTAAACGAAAGACAATGAACACTGGACGATTTCCTACAGCTTCTCAAGATCAGTGCCGACGCAGTGGCTCAATCCGGAGTTTACCTCTGGACAATCGGGATTAACCTCCACCACCTTCAGTCCGTTGGATACCTCGAATGACTGATTCTGACTTTGGGTCATAATCTTGACTTTTATGTACTTGTTTGTGTTGACCGAGAAGTTCTGCAATTAGGTGGGAATGGGATTATGGGAGACGGGATGGATATTCAGTACTTTCTCGAGGACTCGCATCGTTCACGCTTTCCGGTCAATCCAGTCTTGAAATCATATATATTTACAATTAAAACTATAAGGCTACAAAATAAAAAGGTATATTTACATTGTACATATGCTACACAATTATTATTTATGGTTCGGGATTGATGGACGTTAAGCATACTTTACCGCAAATGTCTCTTGATGACTACTCTAAAATTGCGTTGGCATATGTAGTACAAAGAGGGAGCAGATCGGATCAGAGCAGAGCAGAGAGATGAGATTGAGTAGATGAGTGTTGGCTTGGGTGGGACGACAACAAGGGAGACGAAACGAAGAGTTGGGAGAGTTCATTTGGAAGGGTTAATACTAATGTTTAGGTCACAGTTGAAGGAATGAAAAAGCAAATAAAGGTGGGCACAACAGAAATAATTTCGGGAACAGAAGTAGACAGAGGGAGTAAATTAACTTAAATCAAACATCGAATGGGGTTAACAAAATTCGTGTTAATTTCGAAACACAAAGTGGGATAACATTTTTTGATGGTCAGTCCTAAAATACTTACAATGAGCACGGCGGGATGCGGCACCTGTTGGAGTTGTTGTCAATTGGTTGGAGGTGTTGAGGTTCGGTTTTGGTTTGGTTGTTGGATATTTGGATTGATTGTGATATTCGGCAGCGTTTTATACAGATTATATACACAAATTATATAAACATATATAGCATTTTGAGCAGAGTTGAGAGTGAAGACAACAACCAAATTCCAATGTACAGGGTGTGTGTGCGTGTATTTATAGGTGTGTGGTGTGGCATAGTGGTGTGTTTGTGTTTAGGACATGAAAATAAATAAGATCAATAAATAAATAAAAAAATATATAACTATAAGAACTTTATAGAGAAAAAAGACGATACCATTTCTTAAACAAATGCAAAGATATACCAATGTTTGTTACTGGGTTTTTCATATCGCTTCTCTTATCTATAACTGATAAAAAGTACCACTAGAACACACTGTTTTCTAATCAAACCAACCAAAATGCCCTTCGATTAAATTCAATTCTACCGTAACAACAAATTTTGATGACTCAGTCGTTGTTGTTTGCCTTCGCTGTATATCATCTATCATCAGCGTCTATTTATGGGAGTTAGAATCACAGGTATTACTATGTACAAAGAATCTTTATCAAAAAAAGGAACTAACTTTAAGCATACTGTAAAAGAGTCGTATAAAAAATCCCTGGACGGTTACCAGTTTAGTTAACCTTCTGTTAATCGTTGATCATGGAAAAGTAAATGATAGGTAGGCCTGTATATCTCGCGCATTTAGAAGCTCCTTAAACATATTTGCAGCTTATCACGTTCACAGCAGCAAAGTCAACTTAACTTCGGCCGCAGCCTCTGTAGTAGGTTCATATAAGGCAGTAAACGCATAAAACATAACGAAAAGTGTGTTTGGAGCTCAAGAGCAGCTTGTTTGTGCTGAAAAGGATTGACTGTGAACGTCCAAAAAACCACAGGCAAAAAACTGTTTGCTTTTCCCCCAATTATGGTTATGGCAAACCCAGCAGTAGCAAAAATCGCACAGAGAAACCATTGCTACCCCAAAAAGTGAATCGAATGTCGCAATTTTCGCGATTTCATTTTAATTCTTTTTTTATCAATTGCCTTTCCTCTGCAATTCAATTTCAATTCTCGCTTCTTTTTTATGGTGTTTGTTTTATTGCTGTAAATGACAAAATTTGTCAGCAACTTATGAATCTTGATTAATGAAGTGTGCTCCGGCTCCCCTATAAAAATATATAAACCAGCTGCCAAGTGATCAACCATCCAAATATTAAAGCGTAACCCTCGGCCATCCACCATATGAGGAGAATTGAATTTGACTGAAGTTTTTTCTAGCTCTATGAGGCTGTTATTGGGAATGACATCGTGATCGTTTGCTCTTTTTATAAACTTAAAAAAAGTATTATGCCAGCGAACCAAATTCTATCTTGCCCCTGTGAGCTTACTAAATGAAGAGCCTAAATGATATTGGTAACTTGAGACCAAATAGAATGAATGAATACTCCCACGAAGCAGTCAAAGATTCGAAGGCGTATTAAAGACACTTTGCCGACGATAATCACATACGTGTTTATGTAAGCGTCGTGCATCTCCCGCGAACGATGTTTGTCTAATTAATTACAATACCAAACAATAACAATTGTCGGGCTTGCGTGCCATTAATGTGAGTTTAATAAGCATTTTCCAGTCACAAAAACCATATGGAACTGAATATCTGCGGCGGGTCTCTCCAACGCACCCTCCCACAGTGCTGGATACAGCTTTGCATTTGCTTCGATTCTCGGATGGACGCATATCGGTTTCTGCGCTTCTGTACTTACCGCACCGGAGCCCTTGGGCTTGGAGGCTGCCACATAGGCCAGAAATTGGATGACCTTCTTGGTGTTCTCCGTCTTGCCAGCACCCGATTCGCCAGTACACAAAATCGATTGGTCTTCGCGATCTGCAGGGTAGAAGGGGAAAGGTGTAAGTGAGTGAGTGACACACTTCATTAACGCAACAATGCGGCTGACCTGCCAAAAATGAAATTAAAATGTAAAAAGCCAAGCTCAGCTTTAAGTTTCAGTTGACCCAAATTCAAGCGGGCAAAAACAAAGCCAAAGACAGAAAAAAAAGTACACAGTCGTGGGGAGCGGGCGAAAAATGAGACATACATCAATTGAAAATGAAAACAAAAACTGTTGATTTCAGTCTGCGTATCTGAAAGATACGAAAGGCAACAGGCAGCAGCAGTAAATTGCTGTTGCTCATAGCTATTGATATGGCGCCAATGATCCCATCTAGAATATAGCGAACTAGATTTGCACTGCACCCCGGGATCACCCCGCCACATGGCAGCCTCGTCACACGATCCAGTATTGAGCTAACCACAAACTCAGGCAGAGAGACAAGCGATTCAGATATATCCACTCTGATTGCCATAGATTTTGAGGCACGGAGCTCTACACAGCGTCCACATCACGACCCCGTACTTATTTATTATTATGGATAAAGCCGGTCGCATATTTATACATACTACATTCAATATCCGACCATAAATGGCCCGAAATATATATCTCAGCACGTCATTTTATGGGAATTTTTCGTTGGTTTTTGTGTCTTTTTGTTCAAACCGAGTGACTACATAGAAGGACTGTATAATCATAACTTAGATCACTCAAACACAGTATTAAAAAGGTTTACACAATCCTTTTCGTCCTTAACCTTAATTTAGAGGCTCCGTCGAATTAAAATTTTGTTTGCAAGAAAATACTTAAGTACCTTACTTTAAATTCATTCAAACAAATGTTTGTTTTAATAGTTTTCAAGATCTGACAAAGGAATCAATTAAACGAATGTAATTCTCTTCTACGGGTCCCACAAAAAACAAATGAAAGCATAATAAATTCTATCAAAACTTACTAGCTATCTAAGTTTTTATTGATGGAATGCTTATAGAAGATAAAAAGTAGATAACCTATCGATGACAGCCCTAGCTTATTTTGACCACAAGTTTGGAAAATATATTACTCGCTGATCATGTGTCAAATAGAAGACTCCGCTCCCAAAATAAATTCCTGATTAAACAACTGAAATAACAAAGTCATGCGAAACATCTGTCCAAAGGCGGACCTTACGCGGTGGTTAAAGCCGGTATATATGAATGTGCACATAAGCATGCAGTTATATACCACATTAATACAGGCAAAGTCAAGGCGTGTCATTTTATCATGAACAAGACTCGTATGACATTGGCACATTATGAGCAGCTGGAAATATAGCTCGGAATGGAATGCCATAAAAGTTGCAGTTTGGCGGAGTCGGGAGATTTGCGATTGCCACGAGTCGGGGGAGCAGCTGAAGAAGCCCGAGAAGATAAAGGTGTGCGACGATTGTCCAGCTCCACAACAGTCCCCAGATCGGTTTGGAGCTGATTGTGGTGCGTGTTTCAGGGCAATGGAGTCAGAGGCGACGGGGCTGGGCTAAGATTATTTAAAGCCGGCGAAATAAATCAAAGAAACGGCCACTCCCCAAAGGCTGTAAAAGCGAACTTCTCGAAAAATATGTATACCGAGGAAATACAATCAGGCAAATGTGCATAAACAGAAATTTATTAAGCGTCAAATATGGAGAGCCAGACTGAGGTGACGATTTGTTTAAACATTTCCACGGCAGCAACAAAAACAAAGATGATGATGGGGCAAACAAAGTTGCCTGCTGTCCAAGCGGAGCCGGGTTCAGTTTTAGATCCAAATATGGTAATGACACGTATACGCAATATTAGTTAACCAAACTCAAGCAGGGGGAGCACACACATATGCAGGGAACCTATAGATATAGCCTCAGTAAGATATGCCTGGCCTCGAGCTGGAGTCTCTGCTGTGCCAGCACCGCGTGAGTCATCTCCCGGCACGGCGTTACGCTTGGATCGGACATGCAAACCATCGAAACTCACTGAAGCCCAAACTAAAAGCAACAGCAGTGAAAAGGAAATCAGAAAAAAATGCCATTTGAAAATGCAAGCCGAAAAAGGAAACCAGTTTGTGATTAGAAGAGAGCCGGTCATTCAGGCAACAGGAACATATTTGCAGATGATTCACGGCCCGTTTTTTCAGATGGGAATGGTAATGCACCGCCGTGGAATTTTTTCTGCAAAGTGTGTCATATTTGGACCCCCTCTCCAGCGCGATTCGTGGAAAAGCTCTTTCCAGAGTTTGCCAGGTCTATCTTATCAGCTCGGTTTGGGTAAATTTTTTGCTTGTTTATGCGGAGAATGGAATTTTCGATAGGGACCAGAAATCGCGCACCAGAGAAAACAAGAAGGGGACTGTAATGCTCGCATTTCCCCTCCAACATCAGTGTGCCGCTAAGTAAAAAAGGGAAAGTAAATGCAGACGAGATACTCACCACCCAACATGTTTCTATAGGCACTATCCGTTATTGCAAATACATGCGGAGGCACTTCGTGTCGCTTTATGCCCTTATACCGTTCCATAATCTTTTCGGTGTAGATCGGTAGTTTCTTGTAAGGGTTGACCACAACGCAGAAGAGACCGGAATATGTCTGAAAGAAGGAAATGATACAAATGTTAGTCTCAGTTTACTGCATACAATTCCTAGCTAAGGTGCTTAAATATTGTATTTTGTTTCAGGATCATTGAAGAGATTATCTAAGGGTAACTATGCTTAACTTAACAATGCTACCGACATACATTGAGGACATTTTACACTACTTTACTGGATCCCCAACAAAATCTTACTCCTTGATTTTCCAGGCTTATGGTTGCTCATTTTCGAGCTGGATGTGTTGCCCATGTAGTTATGTAGTTAATCAAAGTGCGGCCTGGGCCAATGGCTGCCTCAGAAACCGGCCACTGATGTTCAGTGGCCTAGTTAGTGTTGCCCAAACTCACACACACGCTCGCTTGGCTATCTAACAAGACATGTGCTTTAAAGTTGGCCAGCACCATAAACAGCGAACGCATGTATCTGTATCCGCCGCTCTATCTGTATCCGAATCCGAATCCGTTGGTGGTATCTATCGAGCGGCAGCCTACATAACTGCGATTGGGACCGAGACTGCGGCGTGGGCACTAAGTATGCGGCTTTTGCTATTTGTTGTACCATTTAAATATCTGGCCAAACATTAGATGCGAGTGCTGCGAACTTCACAGCGCCGCGCAAAACTGTATCGCAGGAGGTGCAGAAGTGTTGGGCCGGCCCACACAGCTTGAAATGGAAAGTACCGCTGGTAAAAATCATAGTGGAGAAAATCTCTTCAAGACTTTGCCACCCAGGTGAGGGTGATGCGGAGGGCAGAGGAGAGTGACTCACAAAGCCCCAAATCTACAACAAAATCACGTCTTGCCAATCAGCCACCTTGTACGAGTGTGTTTGTGTGTGTGTGCGTGTGTCAGGCATCCAAAAATGGCATAAAAAATTGTTTTTTCAGTTTCTGTTGTTTCTTCGCTGTTTTTGGCAACCGTTTAGAAGTGGCCGTGACTCGTGACGATGTTTGCTTCACTCGCCTTTGAACAATTCGGCTATGCTCGTTTGAGTCATTATCCTGATGCATACATCTACCCAGCCCCTGAACGTCATTAATCACTGAAACCTGCCCTCATATGAAGCCTTATATGGTCAGCCGATAAGTCAAATCATGAAATGTATGCAAATTCTACAAGCGGTGGCAGGGCAATTAAATTACAGAGAGATTTATTTGCATCTGGGGTGGAGGGATGAGGAGAAAGGCCAGTCACGGTAGACGTGAACGGCTTATCAATGAGGCTTACAAAGAATAAGAGCCTGATGAACCTCCGAAAGAAGATTGGCATTCGGACCCTCTCGAATTAGTCACTAAAAATCTCGGACGTTTAGTGAATCCGCTTTGGTCGCGGCTTTAAGGCCTTATGTGGTCAATAAACGTGTTGCAAGCAGAGCACAGCAAACAGGGCCAAAAGCGACGAAAAGCAAAACCTGCGGCGGCGCCTTTTATGTTAATTACATTCTTGAGAAGACACCTCCGTCGGCTTCCTGCCTACCTCCCTCCCTGGCCACCATTCCACCCCCTCGTGGGGGGCCTCTGCTATTAGTGCCAATATTTGCGAACAAATTGCTCAGCTGATATGCGAGGAACATAATTTATTTGCCACAAAGGGCACGCTTCGTGTGTTGGCTCATTTGCAGTCGCCATTTGAATCTGGCCCAGGGAGCCAAGAGCCACAGCAATCCCCTATTAATACGCCGTTCTGTTCAGTTCGGCTTGCCATTTCAATTAGCGCATCTCAAAGATAGTTAGAACGAACGGGAATTGAGATAGCTGCAGCTGCCAAGGCGCCAACGTCATCGTCTCCTGTCCCCGCTGCGTTGTCAAGTGCGATTCTTTTGGTTGCCAACGCAGCTGAGCAGAATGCAAACAGAATATGGCCGAGTACAAGCTGCCTTTGAGCAATTGCACCCAGTCACCCGGTGGACATAAATCAATTAATTGCACCAACAACAGAGGCAGAAGCAAATGTTTTGTGGAATATTTCAAACCCAATTTCACTTTTAATCAGGCGCAGCAGGAAGAGGCGGGTCTGGTCGATGCAAATGTTTAACGGAATCGCAAGACGACACATTATTCAAAGACACAACATTTAATTTTAAGGCAAGGGAACATTAATTAAACTTCTGAGATCTAAATCGTTTCGGATTTTTGGGACTGTCCACATTGCACGACTTTATTTTCTGGCCAATTCCGTTCGCTGAACATTTTCATGTCAAACAAAATTGGCCATATTTGCGGCGGTTCTTGTTGCTGATTTTCCAAGGTGTTGCTGAGGTGTTGACAATTTGATTAGCATACGTATATCCATAAGTGAGTCGCCATGGGTGTGCGTGTGAGTGCTGGCCGTGTAAGAGTCATTCTTCTTGCCGACGCATATTAATTAGGCTACAAGCGACCGGCAGTCGGCAGCTGCCGGGCGAATTAATTTAAATGAAATTTAAAAATCGAATTAAATGTCAACAAATTATAATAATTATGCCGTTAGGCGCAGCCCCCACAGCACAGTGCCTCTATATCTATCTGTATCTGTATCTCCACCTCTGTCTCCGTCTCTTTTCCCGTGCAACAAGTTAGCGGGCAGAGCGCGTCAGCAACAATTGGCAGCGAATTAAATGGGACAAGTCGTGGCAAGAGCGCGAAGGGGCGCAAGATGAGTGCGTGGCGTGGTTGTGTAAACGGTGGAGCGGCGCTCGAATTGGCCAACAACAACGACAATGCCAAGTGCGCTGAAGCATGGCCGGCCAACAACAACATAAACAAATTTAAAGCAGTTTGCGCCCACATCAAAAAGCGGCAGCAACAACAACCGTTTGGGCATTAAATTAAAACTCCCAAAGCGAGAGAGCGAAGACTGCGATAAGTGGCAGCCGCAGAACACAAAATATGTAAAAGCGGCACATAATTTGTTATAAAACAATAAAAAGAAGAAACAACGAACCTGCCACATGGCGGCGAATAGAAGCAGAAAGAAAAGAAGAATCAAGGCTAAGAGGCAGTTGAAGCCAAGTACTTTGGCGAAATTCCTAACCAGAGTTAGCTTGGTAACGAAAGAAGAGTTTTCTGATGACTTGGTGACAAAAGGCACAATTTTTCAGGCAATTAAGTGTACTATTTAAGCTGATAAGCAATGAACATAATTGATAAAAATAAAAATCTGATGCTAGCAATGTGGGTATCGTTTGGGAAAATCTTGAGCAGACTTCTGAAATTTATGTCTTAGTTCAACAATTAGAATTGTGCTTGAAGCTGATACGTACTCAAGTAGATTAACGACCCTTCATTTGAAGTAAATTTCATTGGTCAAGAGTGGCAGCTTAGGCATGTGAGCCAAAAAATCTACCCCCTTTTTCGGAGTAATAAGTTATGTGATCAGATAAATCGACATGAATTGAAGTCCGCAATTGCAGACGCTAATTCAATGATTTATATAAGAAAGAAAGAAAAGAGGGAGGCGCAGCCGCAAAGCAGTTGGAATTTATGGAGCCGAATTCAAATGCGCCACTTGAAATTCGTTTCTCATCGAATCGAAAATTAACTTTTTGCTGGCTTTCTATCTACTCAGACCAAAACGCTTTTGGCATGCCAATTAACAGCGGATATGCTTTGCGGGGAGAGTGGGGGCGAAAGAGTGAGTTAATGTTTATAATTCATTCGGCCTGTGACGAGTGCACCGAAGGATTGAGTGATTGAGCTTCGGAGTGTCAAATATTTGTGAAGCTTTTAAATAAACAGGAATGCGATGAGGCAAGACGGCTCGACAAAGTTTTGCCTTTCAAAATTTCCAGTTATAGGGGAGGGCTGTTTACTTAGAGGCATCATCATCATCATCATCACCATCGTCACATTGCCGGCAGCTGGCGCGGCGGAAACTTTGGGGCGGCCAACACAAACATAGGGTGTAGAATATGAAATATAGACTATAATTCGGGGTACTCACATAGATCAGGCCAGAGTAGTATCTGTCCTTGATGTTGTGCAGAACGGAGGCCTCGTTCAGGCACGTCAGCTCGGCCATGTCCTCGACTTTGTCGAACTTTGGCGGATTCATCTTCTGTATGTCGTCGCGCAGGATCATCACCCGCTTGCCGGTCTCGGCCAGCTCCACTTCGACCTCGTCGCCATGCTCCCGCTTAATACTGGCGGCCACGAAGCCCTGAAAAGAGATAGAATGGGTTATTCACGGCTGCAATCTTTGTTTCCTAGCGTTTTCTTTGCCTTATGCAAAATACAGCTTGTGTGTGTATATTTCGTTTTACAACTCAGCGGGTAGGCGATAAACACAACAAGTGCAGCGACGCTGCATGAGTCAAGCGCCAGAAGAAGAGCCACTCAGCCTCCGCTCTCTCGCTGGCAAGTGAAATGCATAGGGAAGAACTGCACCCATTCAAGTGGCCCAGGCAGACGGAACAAAACCGAGCCAACAGAACAACGGGAGGCAGATGCAACTGTCTGCCTGTCCGCCTGTCTGGCCTGCCCCGCCCCTTTCCCCCTCCGCCCCTCGATGCGTAGCAAGTTCAAGGCGCAGATTTCCGTATGTGGCCATCACAAATTTCGATATTAAACTGCTGGGACCGTGATTATCTGTATCTAAATCAGGGCGATACTACAAGTGTGATTCACTCTCGAGTCTTCCGCGGAATTTTCCTCCACGAAGGAACCCTGAAATTCAATCGAACACAAACAGCTTGGGAAAGCTGCACCAACAGCCAAACAGCTTCAATTAGAAGTCAAGTGAAACAACAACAATGGGGAGCATGAGCATGCTGCACGCGGCGCATTGACATTAATCAAATCAGGGGCAACCCGTAACTCAGTCATTAAAGGGTAGAGTGAAGTGCCGCCGCTGCAAACCAGAAATGCATTAAAACCAACAACAGGCCGCTGGAACAGAGCGGGGAAGGAGCATCTGCAACGCATCCCAGCCCTTTCCAGACCGGGTCCATTAAGTTAAACACGCACACGCCCCAGCGATCAGTTTCGGAAAAACCCGCGACGCGCTGCTTCTCACTCATGCTTCGAGTTATCTTGGCGCTTTTCCGGTACCAGGGATAAACAGCCATAAGAAAGTCGTTTTTCTGGGGCGGATACGACGGATATGAAACCATTTGGAGCGCATAACGAGTTCATTTAAATGCCCAACAGTCGGGCGTGCAATCAACACAATTAAATGGGCCCTGTGGCGAATTATTTTCGCCCAGTGATAAGTTTATGATCGACAAACGATAAATCCTGTACGTATAGGCGTACGTGAGCGGAACGATTTACACAGTTGCGAGAACTTTCGCTGTGTCTAAACTCATTTTCCAACGAACCAACCTCCAACCGCCCCCTCCCAGTCGACTGTCTGTTTTGTGGGCAGCCCTGTCAGCTTGGCAAAACATTTGCGCATAAAAACGTTTGACAGTTTGGACACACCACACACAACAAGGCTTTGCGACAGTGGCAGAAGCAGCAAAAAGTACGCGAGTCCGAAATGCTGTAACTGCTGCCCCGCCAGTTGGTCCATGAATCACGATCTTGGAATGCCCCGCAAGAGATGAATTGGAGTTATCGACCAAGGAAATTAGCCGGAGTTGCTCAGGCCGGCAGCGAGAGGCTGGGGAAAGAGGCTCTTTCAAAGAGCTGGGGCATATGAGGTCATCAGTCTCGGATTCTCGCTCAACGGCATCTCGGGCATTCCGGGCAATCGGTGGAGCGAAACCAAAGAAAATATAAAACAACACCTACAAACAAAGCGAGCGCGGATGATGATGATAATCAGGGAGGCGGGAATCGAAGGAAGGAAGCTGAGGGAGGGGAAGTGTGGGAGCCCCGCTCCGGGTTTGACTATTTTTGGTCACCCAATCACAACCTTGAACTTGCCAAGGGATCCGCCGAAAAGCAAGCTAGCAAGAGAGCACTGCGGCTATGCCAAGATGTATCTGTACCCACTATTCACTCTCTGGGAGCGTGTGGTTTTCGCCAACTTCTTTTGTTTACACTATGTCGAAAAGTAAATATGAAACGAATAACGAATAGGAGGTGCCCGGTGCCCCATCCTCCTCTCCAGATCCGAAATGCGAACGGGCAGAACGACGGATGGATGGGCCCATTATAATTTGTTACTCTTTTATTTTATTCCTTCGCTTAATCGATCAAAGCATATGCATGTGTGGCGATGAGAGGAGAGGGTAAAAACGTATATTACACATACGTGATACGAGATACGAGGCGCAGGTTCGTTGACCGTAAACCGGACGGACGAGAGTCGAAAGCTGGCTACGTTTGTCGTTGCCGTAACCGAAAAGAAAACACTCACACTCGCGCGGCAAGGCATCTTTACCAGAACCCAGAAGGGCGCGGGCGGGGCAGCGGAGTGGGAGTGGTCACAAACAAAGTCCAAAGTGGTTTCTGTTGGTTATAAATACAAGTAACACACAGACACGCTCGAAAATATCAACAAACGATACCGGGCGCTTGTGTGGGTGTGCAGAGACCCCTTAATGATCGGCGTTCGTTACAATCGATTCGATTCTCTGGGCATGACGAAGGTTAAGCCGACTTCAATTTGGCTAACAATAAAAAAAGTCTCGAGATTGGTCGGGGGGATCAGGCATGCAGGAATACCTGAGCAACATCAGGGGATAAGAACGGAATTAAAACTTAAGAAGGGAGAAAAATGAGAAAAAAAAAACAACTCCGCCGTGTCTATCAAAAATTCATTCCATTCTGAATATCTTCCCAATATCATTGACACTTGCAAAAACAAATTTTGGAAGTGTCAGCATTTTTCGTTAACAAAAGTATATAGTATCCAGATTTATAAACTTAAGATCGCATGATCAATTATCGGAAACCATATTTGATAATTGAACTTTAATTCCCTCTTGAAACACTACTATGATTCATAGTATCCAAAAACAACCCACATGACCTGCAAAAATATCGCTGATCAGTAAACAAAACGAAATCTAACCACGAACAAAAGGGTTCCTTGTGTATCCACGAGTAAATAAATGTTTTGGATACCACGTACGTGGACTGACGCTGACAATATTCGGCGAATTCCCTTACATTGCGCAAAGTTGGAACAGTTGCTGGAAACGATGCGAAATGAAGCGCGCTGTTCGGTCGAACGGAGTGTTGACACAATTGGCGAATACCCTTTTAACCAAGTCCGTTCCCGTTAAACCGTAGATGTATCTGTATCTGTTGGACATTCCAGCAGAGCAACAGTTTGTGCTACATGCAAATTTCTTTACATTTCTCGCCTGTCTCATGTGTCGCCGTCAGACCCTAAGACTTTCCGACTTTTAGACGGTCCGTCCCACCGTCCGACGGACAACTCATGACAATCGAGCGTTTGCGGTCGTTTCGTTATTTTCGTGTTTGTTTCTTGGCTTTATCTCTGCCGCTGTTTTTTGTGAGATTCCATTGTAAAGTAAATGTCTGTTTAAGTGATCGCGTAATTACACAAAAATGTGAAGTTGTTGGCTTTTGTTTTCGTTGCTTTTATTATATGAAGTCACCCAAAAGTGCTACCATTCTATTCCCCGGAATTATCTCGGGCAAATAAAGCAATTACCCACCGGTCAGGGGAGGAAAACATGACTGCTAATTTTATCTGTTTAGGTTTATGGTCTTGAAATTAAGTCTTTGGAATGCAGTTGAATGACCTGAAAGAAACCTCCTCAAACAGAAGACGAGAAGAATGGAACAATCGAAATTAGCAAAACAATCCAGCTTGTTATCATATGGCTGGAACCCAGGCGACCAAAGTTTCGCGATCGAGTTTCTGGGCCAAGAGTGGGCGCAGAAACCTCCTAGGGCAGTGATTCTTTGGCCCAATCTCAGCTCGTTTCTTCGCTGGCTTGGCTGAGTGTTCGTTTGAACCACACAAGCAAATCGAACTCACAAATACTCGGCCAGCTTAAAAACTTGTTTTGGCCCGCTCTCACTGGGAACTGGGAACTGGGACCATTCCTGCACCACTCTCCGCGAAGGTGAGTCAGTGAGTCAGAGAGCGTCTGCATGCAAATTGGTAGCATTGGCGGCAAATGGTCGCGGATTTGACCAAGTAAACCGTTAAATCGGACACACTAATGCGGCCAGGTGATGTGGTTTTGGCATCACCGCTAGAGAAACGAGTGATTCAGCATCGACGGATGTTTACTCAATTTTATCACCGCGCTGCGAAAGTAATGAAAATTTCAAAGAAGTTGGCCCGGTTAAAAATTAAAAATAAACGGCACAACGGGGCGTGATTCATAAACGATCGATGAGTGAGCCGGATGGCTCGGAAGGTGTTCGTTGATAAGGAGCCCAAAGCCGGGCACGAACACTGCGCAAATTGATTACAGCATGTACAACTGCGGTAAAAGTTATGTGACTACGTGTTGAGTCGCGTATATTTTAGTATCTATGGATAACTGTTTGTTCTTTTCATTATTATAAAGTTTTAAAAAATAGATTCATTTTTTGTTTTTTTATTACTTATCAGTGCTATTTCTTTGACCGCAGCTGTAGCCGTGTTCCTGTTGCTTTCTCGCTATCAATAGGGCTTATGTCAGGTAATTCGGTGTTTCGGGCGTGGTTCCCATACTGCGAGCTGAATCAGGGTGGAAACCCCTGAACTCTCACAGGTTTAGGTAGATCTGGACCCTACAGGTATCGGCTGAGCAGACTCACCTGGTTCTCGTGCGGCACCCACACCAGACGCTTCTGTGTCCACTCGGCCTGTGTGGCCGGATCGTTGAACTGGTTGCGCTCCACCGAGAGGTACTTGAGCTCCGGATCGTTGCGATCTACTTCCTCCGACATTTTGGCGGCGTTCTCGGTGGCTCCTCGCTTGGGTCCCTGTGGCGGTTAATTAATAATTCCTTGTCCGGTTGCGTTGGTAAGTAGTCGGCTAATCGGGTAATCAGCTTGGTATTCGGATGCAACGCACTTTCTGTCGGACAAAACAAATCGATGAGAACAAATGAGTATGTTGTTTCGCTCGTCGCCGAGATACAATATTTCGCATTTATCTCGCGTTCGCGTTCTTTATCTTGGAAGTGCGGCACAAAACGGAGGCGGCGAGAACAGCGCGCGGCGAGAGTTTCAAAAGGGAGAGCGCGAAAGAAAGACCGAGACGAAGACGGAGACGGAGAAGAAAAAATATGGCCACACATTTTCATTTTCTTAAGCCAACGTTGACGGCCGTGGGCGAGGGAGGAGTAGGGGGAGGGGAGGGGGGAGGGTAGGAGGTGATTTAGCGGAAAAATAGCGTTACGTAGCAATTAACCATTAACCAGTTTGCATTTCCATTTCCGAGGACTGCAGCAGCCAAACACTTTCGGAGTTGCGGCTACTCCAATTTCGGCTGTCTCAGTTTCGGAGCAGGTATAAGCGCGGCTCTTCTTCTTCGTCTCCTCTCGCTCTGCCTCTCCCACTCTGTTCGTTCTGCAACACCGACACACTGCACACACACACACCGCGCTGGGAGCGAAGTTTTCGCATATTCGCATATTTCGCACATAAATGTTGTTTCGGTTTTCGTTTTTATGCTCCCATTTCACCGCGTCAGCACCGCGGTTGCAAATTCAGCTGAATTCAGTCCCGCATTCGCTGCATTTTGCGGCGTCTCTGCCGGCGTCGGCTCGGCGTCACGTCGCCGGCGACTTGGGCGTTGCGTTGGGGAATAATCCTACGGCCGCTGCGGCATTTCGCTGTTTTTCGGCTTTCGGTGTTTGGCCGCGCCGGAGGACACGGAATCGAGGGCGATCTGCCGCAGCCGCAACAAGCCTTTTGTGCGCTTTTCGTTTGTTTTGCGACAGCTGCACTTCCAGCTCACCACACTCACAAACACACTCACAGAGACTTCGACCGCAGTAGGATGGCGCACGTCTGCTCGGTTCAAACTTTTTTTTTCTTTGAATTCGTATTTTGCTGGCGGCCAGTGTGACGGCTTGGCGGTACTTTTTATACCCTTAAATACCAAAAATATCCCAAACGGTCACGCTGCCAATAAATGTTAGTTAACAGGCCTGGTAGTTTTTGTATGTTAACAGCAGAGCCCTGTTGTGTTTGAGTAAAAAAGTATCGGTGATCGGCAAGGTATTTGATAGCATTGTCGCTTCAATGAGATATATCTAAAATTTAACAATCTAAATAAATTACAATTTTGGACCTCACTTAAAAATAAATCTTGAATGTAGATTATAAGAGAATGAACCCACAAACTTATAGAGGTATCCCACATCCAAATCGGTATCCAATAAGTCAAGATATGGAGTTTAGAAGTGCAGGTTTAGGTACCCATTCTGAAACCCAATGGAAATACGATAAAATCCAACATGAAAATGGGTTGAAATTTTGAACCACGCTTAAAAGTAAATCTTGAATGTAGATTATAAGAAAATTTAACCCCAAACCTATAGAGGTATCCCACATCTAAATCGGTATCCGATACCTCTAGATATGATTTTTAGAAGTGCAGTTTTAGGTACCCATTCTGAAACCCAATGGAAATACGATAAAATCCAACATGAAAATGGGTTGAAATTTTGAACCACGCTTAAAAGTAACTCTTGAATGTAGATTATAAGAGAATTTAACCACAAACTTATGGAGGTATCCGACATCTAAATCGATATCCGATAAGTCAAGATATGGAGTTTAGAAGAGCAGTTTTAGGTACCCACTCTGAAACCCATTGGAAATGCGATAAAATCCAACATGAAAATGGGTTGAAATTTTGAACCACGCTTAAAAGTAAATCTTGAATGTAGATTATAAGAAAATTTAACCACAAACCTATAGAGGTATCCCACATCTAAATCGGTATCCGATAACTCAAGATATGGAGTTTAGAAGTGCAGTTTTTCGTACCCATTCTGAAACCCAATGGAAGTACGATAAAATCTAACATGGAAATGGCTTGAAATTTTGAACCACGCTTAAAAGTAAATCTTGAATGTAGATTATAAGAAAATTTAACCACAAACCTATAGAGGTATCCCACATCTAAATCGGTATCCAATAAGTCAAGATATGGAGTTTAGAAGTGCAGGTTTAGGTACCCATTCTGAAACCCAATGGAAATACGATAAAATCCAACATGAAAATGGGTTGAAATTTTGAACCACGCTTAAAAGTAAATCTTGAATGTAGATTATAAGAAAATTTAACCCCAAACCTATAGAGGTATCCCACATCTAAATCGGTATCCGATACCTCAAGATATGATTTTTAGAAGTGCAGTTTTAGGTACCCATTCTGAAACCCATTGGAAATACGATAAAATCCAACATGAAAATGGGTTGAAATTTTGAACCACGCTTAAAAGTAACTCTTGAATGTAGATTATAAGAGAATTTAACCACAAACTTATGGAGGTATCCGACATCTAAATCGATATCCGATAAGTCAAGATATGGAGTTTAGAAGAGCAGTTTTAGGTACCCACTCTGAAACCCATTGGAAATGCGATAAAATCCAACATGAAAATGGGTTGAAATTTTGAACCACGCTTAAAAGTAAATCTTGAATGTAGATTATAAGAAAATTTAACCACAAACCTATAGAGGTATCCCACATCTAAATCGGTATCCGATAACTCAAGATATGGAGTTTAGAAGTGCAGTTTTTCGTACCCATTCTGAAACCCAATGGAAGTACGATAAAATCTAACATGGAAATGGCTTGAAATTTTGAACCACGCTTAAAAGTAAATCTTGAATGTAGATTATAAGAAAATTTAACCACAAACCTATAGAGGTATCCCACATCTAAATCGGTATCCGATAACTCAAGATATGGAGTTTAGAAGTGCAGGTTTAGGTACCCATTCTGAAACCCAATGGAAATACGATAAAATCCAACATGAAAATGGGTTGAAATTTTGAACCACGCTTAAAAGTAAATCTTGAATGTAGATTATAAGAAAATTTAACCCCAAACCTATAGAGGTATCCCACATCTAAATCGGTATCCGATACCTCAAGATATGATTTTTAGAAGTGCAGTTTTAGGTACCCATTCTGAAACCCATTGGAAATACGATAAAATCCAACATGAAAATGGGTTGAAATTTTGAACCACGCTTAAAAGTAACTCTTGAATGTAGATTATAAGAAAATTTAACCACAAACCTATAGAGATATCCGACATCTAAATCGATATCCGATAAGTCAAGATATGGAGTTTAGAAGAGCAGTTTTAGGTACCCACTCTGAAACCCATTGGAAATGCGATAAAATCCAACATGAAAATGGGTTGAAATTTTGAACCACGCTTAAAAGTAAATCTTGAATGTAGATTATAAGAAAATTTAACCACAAACCTATAGAGGTATCCCACATCTAAATCGGTATCCGATAACTCAAGATATGGAGTTTAGAAGTGCAGTTTTTCGTACCCATTCTGAAACCCAATGGAAGTACGATAAAATCCAACATGGAAATGGCTTGAAATTTTGAACCACGCTTAAAAGTAAATCTTGAATGTAGATTATAAGAAAATTTAACCACAAACCTATAGAGGTATCCCACATCTAAATCGGTATCCGATAACTCAAGATATGGAGTTTAGAAGTGCAGGTTTAGGTACCCCTTCTGAAACCCAATGGAAATACGATAAAATCCAACATGAAAATGGGTTGAAATTTTGAACCACGCTTAAAAGTAAATCTTGAATGTAGATTATAAGAAAATTTAACCACAAACCTAAAGAGGTATCCCACATCTAAATCGGTATCCGATAACTCAAGATATGGAGTTTAGTAGTGCAGTTTAAGGTACTCATTCTGAAACCCATTGGAAATACGATAAAATCCAACATGGAAATGGGTTGAAATTTTGAACCTCGCTTAAAAGTAAATCTTGAATGTAGATTATAAGAAAATTTAGCCACAAACCTATAGAGGTATCCCACATCTAAATCGGTATCCGATAACTCAAGATATGGAGTTTAGAAGTACAGTTTTAGGTACCCATTCTGAAACCCATTGGAAATACGATAAAATCCAACATGGAAATGGGTTGAAATTTTGAACCTCGCTTAAAAGTAAATCTTGAATGTAGACTATAAGAAAATTTAACCACAAACCTATAGAGGTATCCCACATCTAAATCGGTATCCGATAACTCAAGATATGGAGTTTAGAAGTGCAGGTTTAGGTACCCATTCTGAAACCCATTGGAAATACGATAAAACCCAAAATGGAAATGGCTTGAAATTTTGAACCTCGCTTAAAAGTAAATCTTGAATGTAAATTATAAGAAAATTTAACCATAAACCTATAGAGGTATCCCACATCTAAATCGGTATCCGATAACTCAAGATATGGTGTTTAGAAGTACAGTTTTAGGTACCCATTCTGAAACCCAATGGAAATACGATAAAATGCAACATGGAAATGGGTTGAAATTTTGAACCACGATTAAAAGTAAATCTTGAATGTAGATTATAAGAAAATTTAACCACAAACCTATAGAGGTATCCCACATCTATGTCGGTATCCGATAACTCAAGATATGAAGTTTAGAAGTGCAGTTTTAGGTACCCATTCTGAAACCCAATGGAAGTACAAAAAAATTTAACTTGAAACAAAAACATATTAAAATCTTGTAAAATTGTATATTTTGTCTAGAAAGTGAAAACGGATTTTATTTTTATCAGAGTTAGTATATTGTATCGTTTCGGTGCGGTCACTCTGCCACCCCGCGAAATGTTTGAATGTGTCGTTATTTACGTAGGAAAGATCAAGATGGTCAAATAAAGGTACAGAAGCATACATTTTGAACTTCAAATAACCAGTGCTGGCAAAATAGATGTAT